TCTACAGATCTGCAGAAGGCACAGGTCTGAGCTACTCGGACACCAGAGGCACCGGCTCCCACTGGGCACAGCCAGGGCTCTGCAGAGAGAGATAAGTTAAGGCTCAGGTATGGGTTTGTCTCATTCCTTCACTATTTCTTTTGAAGTCAGGAAGAGCCTTTGTAGATGTAGGGCACCTGTGTAGCTGCTTTCCACCCCTCAGATAAAGCAAGCCAGCACATTGCACCAACAGCCACAATAAATAATTCCAAGTACTGACAAGGGATCAAAGAGGAAAACCAGAGACCTACCCAATCTCCCTGGGGCTGTTTTTATCCCATTTAAGATACAAACCTCAGGGCTGGGCAGTGAAATACTAAAAGGCAGTGAGCTGTAGCTGTTGTGTGCTCCCTGCCACAGCAGGGTCAGGGTCTCTTACTTAAGACACCAGAAAGTGGGACACTGGAAAATGCCTGGATTCAGTTGTCCCACTTTTAATGCCTGTTTTGCAGTTTTTTAAGGTGTCTCATAGAACCACAGAATCCCAGAATCCCAGACTGGTTTGGGTGGGAAGGGACCTTAAAGCTCATCCAGTTCCAACCTAGTGGAAGGGACACCTTCCACTAGAGCAGGTTACTCCAAGCCCCGTCCAACCTGGCCTTGAATGTAATTAAAACATCCACTGTTTGTAAGATCCAATGGTTTTCTTCTACAGACCAATGACCCAGAAATGACAACAAGGACATGGCAATGTTAAAAACACACATTTATTACTCCACATATGCAATGGCTTCTCGCAGTATCTGCAGAAACACAAACCTGTCATAACTTAAATATTCTGTGACATGGTAAAATCATCATGCAATAGAAGTACAGAAATGTATTAACATAAAATACAGAGATATACTTTACATAGATTTCCACTGAAATAATTAAAACCAAACCCTACCAAGGCATCAGGATTTCAGCACTGTCCAATGTCAGGTTCATGTTATTGGCCTTTTTGCTGATTTTATTACTCTGATTCTCTCTTTGGCAAGGCAGAGAGTAAGAAAGAAATGGCAACAGAAGAATGTCAGGACCTGATCTGGCATTTGTTTTCTATGCAAAATTCCCAGTGAAGTCCATGGAATTCAATGGACACACTTAAAAATCTGCAACTTTGCAAAACTTCATAATACAACAGAGAGAAAGAAACAATCTTATGGCGAGGAATTAAGGGAGAATAATTTGTAGGTGACGTCGACTTCTCACAGCGAATAATGGCACACCCTGTATAAATCTGTCATACAAAAAATACATGTATTTAAATATCTATATACAGAAAATTATTGTGTTCTGGTTGTAGTGGAGACGTAAACCAGAGCTGCTACCACCTCCTCCAAGCTCTGCGCGATGGGGTTTGGTACCAGGAGGATTTCACGACTTCACTGCAAGTTCTGCTCACATCTGGAGCTGCATCTGGCTCTAACAGGGACAGAACAGAGAGTTTCAAAGCTACGTGACAGCGGGTCACCGACAGCACAGCACAGGGAGGGGAAGAGGCTCCTGTCCCACGCAGGACGTGGATGGGGTTTGCTTCACGTGGGACAGCCCTGGAAGGAGCTGTGGGATGTGGGGTGCTGATCTCCATCAGCATGGGCTGGTGACGGGGACACAGCGATGGGGACACGACACAGCAGGCACCCAGAGGCACGGCAGGGACGGAAGGACCCCGTGTATTGAAACCCACCAGGAGATTCTGACAAGGAAGCAAACACGAAGCTGTTTCCATCATTTTTCCATTTTCCAACTACTCTTTGCTTGTCATTTCTTCTCCAGGGGCTTGGCATGAGCAGGCATCAATAAAGCGTGATCCCGATGGGCACTCCTGGAGTTACACCCATGGAATATTTAGGATCAAGAGTACTTCAGCTGTATTGTACTCACTCAGTGCAATGATCCCAGAGGTCTGTGTCCTGTCACCGTTCTCCTTGATTAAGGTTTAGAACTAGACTGAGGCAGAAGCAGTGTCCTGGGAGACGCGCTGCTGGATTTCAGTGGTACTTCCCAGATTATTTCCCCTGGGAAAGAGCAATTACCTGGTGTCTCCCCAGCAGCTCGCCCGGCCTCTGCCAAGTGCTGCTGAGGATATTCTGCACGATTTACCCAGGAAGAGCAGTGCTGGAAAGGCAACAGAAATGACTGAAAGGAGAGGGTTTGGGGCGAGAAACAGCCGTTTCAGAAGTGAGCCAGCTCCTCCCTACACACACCAACATCAGCCTCAAGGGCCATTTGTCACTTGTCCTAAAGAAAGTGATGAAAACATATATTAGACATGTCCAACCAAACTGCCAACATCTCCCCTGGCCCGAGAGCTTCTGGTTGAACAGGATCTGTGTGCCCCTCTCACAGACATGATGGTTTCCTCAAAAACCAAGTTACGCTCCTTGTACCAATAGTCTAAACTGTCATTATTTACAGATATGATGTACAGTGCAATGGGGTTTACTGGAAAACCTTATCCACAGTATTGGAGCAAACCACCTTTATTTATAATTCCTGAATAAATACATGCTTTGACTCTCATTCTGCTCCTCGTGCCCCAGCTGGGTCCTGGCAGCCAAGCAGGGGGGCCTGGCGCCTCACAGCAGCTGGGTTATCTGCATGCCCTGGGCAGAAGCAGATCAGAGCCAGTCTGACATGGGTTTGTGACTTGAGATTAAAGCATTCCGAGTACATTGCCATGTGCCCTGACCAGTGTCCATCACAGCCTGGCACCATTCCCATGTGGTGGGAGCTGAGCCCACTGAGGCACGTGGTGGAGCCGGGACAGACCTGGGAGCTCAGGGACATGAGGCGTGCACAGAGAATCGTAGGATCATAAACTCAGAGAATGGTTTGTGTGGAAGGGGCCTTAAAGCTCCTCCAGCTCCAACCCCTGCCACGGGCAGGGACACCTTCCACTAAAGCAGGTTGCTCCAAGCCCCTGTGTCCAACCTGGCCTTGAACACTGCCAGGGATGGGGCAGCCACAGCTTCTCTGGGCACCCTGTGCCAGCGCCTCAGCACCCTCACAGGGAAGAGCTTCTGCCTCAGAGCTCATCTCAGTCTCCCCTCTGGCAGGTTCAAGCCATTCCCCTTGTCCTGTCCCTACAAGCCCTTGTCCAAAGCCCCTTTTCAGAAGAAAGCAGGGGATCAAGGACCAGGCTGTCCCCCCAGGAGTAGGGGCTGCTCACCAGCAGCACACAGAGCAGAGCACACAGCCTGTCTACACGCACACATGTGTGCTCTGATGTGCAGGAGAAGGTAATTGAGTGATGAGGGTAATGAGGTTACCCAGTAATCAGACTGGAAATGACTCAGGGCAGGGAGGGCAGGTCCCCCAGTGCAGCCTGGATCAGGGGTAGGTGCCCTTCTGCAGTTGGGAGAAGGAGCAGGGGACAGGGTTCATCTGAGACCTGCTCCCTGCAGCCCGTCATTAACACAGCTCCTCAGGAGCCACGGGGTGCCCCTGTGCAAGGACCCACAGCAGCACTGGGGCCCCGTGGGGTGACCCTGGTCCCTGTCCAGCACAGCGGAGGGTCAAGATGCTCACCACATCCAGTTGTGTCCTCCTGGCTCTATCCTGAACATAACTGTGCAACAGGGAGCAGAGCTTTGGCTTCTGCCCTGGGAGCTGTGCACCCAACACCTCCTGTAGAAACTCCTGCGGGAATCTAGTTCTGCACAATTTGAGCCATGCACTAATTTCCACATAAAACTGTGGAAAAGAAACGCATCGTGTCATGTTTCATATAAACTGCCTCGTACCAGCTTCCCTTTCTTATTCACAGAAACAAAAAACACATCAAAATTTGTCCTGAAAGAATCTGCATCTGTTAAAAACATCTCGTACCCATTTCTGCGTTAGGAACAGGCAGTGAGGATGCGAAGCTGCACCCTGCTCACCCGGCAGCACAGGGATGTCGGCAGTGTGACAGTGAGCGACTGGGCTGCCCCTGTCGCAACCCACCGCTCGTCTTCAGCAACAGCAACCAAAAGCCACTCTACAGATAAAGCAACTAGTGAAGGCTTCTGAAACAAGAAGAAAGGCAACAGCCACAGCTGGAGCAAGGTAAGAGCTCCTGTCTTATTAAGAAGTTAAACCAGGAACTGGTAAATTATATACAGTACTTGTAGTTTACACTGAAAATAAAGTAAATCAAAGGGTGAAATAAGATATTCCCGTCGTTCATAACTGAGCAGCATTGCAAGGCCACCACTTTGCCTCCAGTAAAACCTGAGTCTGTGGTAAATGGCATCCTCCAAACAGGGTCTGTTCCCACAGCTTCTCACTCGCAGCAGCTACGTGAAGAAATCAAATGTTCAATACATCCTGCACCTCAGCTGCACGTTACACACTACCCAGCCCCTGCAGAACTCACGGCGTGCACAAAACCAGCTATCTGCCCCGAGGTGGGGAAGAAACTCTGAGAGGTGACGAGGACAGGGACGTGCCTGGGACATCCTGATGCCGCTGAACCCACCAGCCCGAGGCTCCCAGGAGGCTGGTGCCACCTGCCACAGCCCGGAGAGGCCCCGGGGCTGCACATGGAGGGCTGCTGGTCCCCACAGCCACCTTTGCCAACAGGGAATGCCAATGGAAAACTTACACCACCCATTCAGCCTCCTCCACACCCACTCGGCACCTTCCCTGGTTGTACCCAAGGACGTGACTCCTTTTCTTGCCATCTCACTGTACCAAAACCATGTGCAGATCTGCAATCTGACATTGAGAAAGAACACGTAAAGAAGCTGCTCTACCTCCTCCAACACGTTGCATAGCAAGTACCTATACCCACGGCAGGCAGCCCGTGTGCCAACTGTGATCCATAACTGCAGGGGTGCAGTTCTCTGAGAACTGTCTCTGTTGCTACAGCTTTGCAAGACCCGTGTGGGTGCTGTGGGGTGTCGAGGACACCCTGTGGTGCTCAGCACGA